TAATGCCATTAAGTTCTTTGAGCAATTTAGACACGGAGCCTGATAATTCATTTTTAATAGAGTAAATCGAAATTAAGTGGAGTGGAGAAGCAGTCAGATGCTATTGTGTCAAATAAAATTTAATGATGTTGATGACTATTCACCTTTTACTATGGTTAAACTGGCATAGTTTTGTATGGTAATTTGCTAGAGGACCATTTGTTTATTTCATGCCGCTGTGGATTTTATAATAATATTTGAAGCCACTAATTCCTTAGTAAATAATTGATGAATCGTGCACCATAATTAATTTTTAATAGAGTAAATCGAAATTAAAAGGTGGCAGATGCTAGTGTGTCATATAAAATTTAACGATGTTGATGATTATTCCAGGGTGGCCACCCACCTGGAAAACCTTGAAAACCTGGAATTATCAGGGAATTTTTTTTATTCTGGAAAAAACCTGGAAATATCAGGGAAATTTGGATTAATGCCTGGAAAAAATCAGGGAATTTTAAAGAAAAGCTGGAATTTTTTTCTTTGATAATTTTTTTAATTTCACTAATTTAAATTATTTACTAATTTTCTTAATTTAAATTATTTCATCCATTATACCCATTTTTTTTAAGCAGAAGTGTATCTCCAAACAGTTTAAATATCATCAACTTAGCTATACTTTGCTTGCATCAAAATTTGCTCCATTACAGCTCTGTTAAACTAGAATGTCACATAAAATTCTCCCACGGTTGCTAAACGAATGTAGAAATCTTTGACGGCTATGGGACTGTGCAATTTAGGAAAGATTCTGGTGGAAAAAGGGCTTAGGACATTAGCTTCTGTTTTTAAATTCTTTCATGGACTGAATCCATTTATGGCTCAAGTTTGTTCCGATGCTTTGGTGGTAATTTTTTTTTCTATTTTGACAAAATGTTTTTGTATTTTTAACTTTATAAAATTCTCCAAAACGACGTTGGTTATAATTTAGTAATAAAAGAGTTTATGTCGCACTCTTTTTCAGAAGGCTTTTCTACTCCCATTCAAAGAAATCTGTGAATTATTTTTTCTCAGCAAACCAACCAATCACACATTTTTTTACAATCGCTAACAGCAATGTTTGTTGACAAATCATTACAATTGTTGCATTAATGCTAATTTTTTCTATTTCGTTTTAACATTTTATAACATATTCTAACTTTAAAAAAAGGTTTTTTTAAGAGCCAACTATATATTAATATTTAATTTTATTCTTATGTTTGTCAATATATGATTTTTGATTCAAAATTTTGTACCAAAACATTAAAAAATAAATAAAAAATCTTGCCAAATTGTCAAAATAAATTATTTTTTTCAAGATGATATGTTAAAAAAATAGCATTTTGAATAAAATATTTTATAATATAGACACTTTTCTTGTACACATCCTATATTTTATAAGAAAAAAGAAACAAAAATCTGGAAATTTTAAGATTTTTATCTGGAAAACCTGGAAAAATCAGGGAAATTTGAAATCTGATTTGAGTGGCCACCCTGATGATTTACTATGGTTAAACTGGCATAGTTTTGTATGGTAATTTGCAACATTTGTTTATTTTATAATAATATTTTTAACTCAGCTAAAATTTCAGAATTAGCTGTAGCTTCAAATGGTAGGTAAATGAAGCCATTAATTCTTCAGTAAAGTATTGAGGAATCTTTTATATAATTAGTTTTTATAAAAGATTCCTCAGTGTCTGATTATTCATTTTTAATAGTGTAAATCGAAATTAAATGGAGAAGCGAAGCAGTCAGATGCAAGCGTGTCATATAAAATTTAATGATGTTGATAATTTTTCACGGTTTACTATGGTTAAACTGTCATAGTTTTATAAGGTCATTTGCAAAAAAAAATAATTTGTTTATTTCAAATAACGATAAGTTTCATAATAATATTTTTAACTGAGTTAAAATATCAGAATTCGCTGTAGATCTAAATGGTCGATAAATGAAGCCACTAATTCTTCAGTAAAGGATTGAGGAATCGTGACTGATAATTCATTTTTAATAGTATAAATTAAAATGAGTGGAGAAACAGTCAGATGATATTGCGTCATGAAAAGTTTAATGATGTTGATGATTATTTACGGTTTACTATGGTTAAAGTGACATAGTTTTGTACGGTAATTTGCAAGAAGATCATTTGTTTATCTCACGCCGCTGTGGATTTTAATATAATATTTTTTACTGAGTTAACAGTTTTTTCAAATAGTAGCTAAATGAATGAAACCACAAATGCCTTAAGAAAAGGTTCAGAAATTCTGCCATGATAATTCATTTTCTATATGTCTTTTTCAATGCAAAACAGTGAGTGCGGCACATAAAATTGAATGAAGATCATTGTTTATTACCCTCTGATTAACATGGCATAGTTTGAAATGGTGAATCGCCAAAGATTAGAATGATGCGAGGACAGAGCCACGATGGCTCAGGGGAAAGAGCGATCGCCTTTCAATGAGGTGAACCGGGTTCGATCCCGGTCATTGCTGGTCGATACGAATTCCGCATCCGACCACAGTGCTGACGTGAAATATCCTCAGTGGTGGAAAGATCATGGGTGGAAAGATCAAATCCTATAAAATAGAGTTGTGAATAAAGTTTTCATTTTCTTTGTTTATTCACACATCAGAAACCTTGTCTACAGTTCAACTTCGCTACGTTAGTTATAAAAAAGAGTTTCTTTACTACCTTTTTCTTATTGGCAACAGCTGTGCTTGCATTTCACAGACTGTTTTAAAATAGAATAAAAATTGATATAGCAAAACAGGGAAAGATATCAAATGAAAAGCTGAAGCTTCTCTCAAGACTACTGGAAAAAAACTAAAAGTACCAATATAGTAGTTTAGCGGTAAATATTATAAAGAATGGTTTAAATTTAAACTAACGAAATTTAATTTAGTATCAGCAAGTTAAACGTTTTCCATACATATTTTCAATAACCTTCATATTATTTATTTTGCTTTCATACAAAAATTTAAAATCAATTTATTATCTAAAAGTTGGTTTGAGTATTCATACTCATCAATATTTTGTTTTGTTGACATAAAATATCCTCAGTGGTAGACGGATCATGGGTTAAAGTCCTCTTGCCACCAGACTAACCATGAGAGGCTTTCCTCTAACGCAATAGTAACACAAATAGTAACACAAAAAGTAACACAAAAAGTAACACAAAAATTAACACAATAGTAACATAAAAAGTAACACAAATGCCGTTTAGTTCCATCAAAAAGTTCTCCACGGAGGCAAATTTCTCTCAATACTTGATCCAGAATTTCTCTTGTCTTCTGGATTGGGTTCAAAATTGTGAGACCACGGAGTTGAATATTTGTAGTCGTAAATTCAAAGTCGGTTGTTCAATGACGGTTATAAAATAAAATTAAATCAGTCGGTTTGATGAAATTCCGTCTGCTGTTGTGTCTAGCCTAAGTAAATTTCGACCAATCATAGAGTGGGTTCTATTCACGTGACTTTTTCCTATTCATATTTTAGTTCAGAGAATAAATTCATATTTACACCTAATTAAATTTCTAAATATTTTGGTTACATGAAATGTTATAAATTTCATTTTTAATATGGTCTTAATCATAGTCTTGTTAGGTGAAAAATAAATATCAGATAGGAATTTTTTTATGTATTCAGATAGGAATTTTTTTATATATTTTTTATGCTGTCCCGGGCAATGCAATTTTCGAGCTCTGGTACAGCATTAAATAAACTTAGGAATCTAATCTGAAATTAACTTGGAAAATAAAAGTGGTGGAGATTTTTCAGGCACTGATACATTATAATATTACATAATTTGAGTTTATCAATATTTGAATCGAACTAAATGTTTAAGATTTAGCTTTCACTTTATTTTCAAAAATATCATTACTCACGTTTTTAGAAGAAAATATGTTTACATTACTATCAGAATAATTTACTTTACTCGAAAATCGACGAATAATATTTTCATCGCCTTGCCACATTTTTCTTTTTTAGTACGAAGCTGAAACCCCTATTATTATGTAGTTTATATAATATAGAAAAGATTTGAAAATATTAATGCAAAAAATTAATAAAATTAAAAATAATAAAAATAAAACATCCAAAAGGAAAAAATGCGCTTAGCAGCAGAGAAACCAAGAGGAATTAAACAACTTTTTCTATCAAGAACGTATTCTTGTTAGAACATTTCTTCAAGAATATATTCCTGATAGAAAAAGTTTTGCATTTTATGACAATTCAAAGTTGGTACCCCCTGATGACGTCAGCTTTGATTGTCATACTTTTTTCAATGTTTTTTCAATTTTTTTACTAATTTTTCTTCATTGTCTCATTTGTAGCCCATATAAGTAATATAGTGTCTTCGTGCCAACTATTATTGAGACAATATTTACATTTCAATGTCACTTAATCCATAAAGACTAATTCATTTATGTCTCTCTTCGAAATAATCTGGGAAAAATGCACTAGTTGTTCCTTCCTTTCATAGCACATTATTATTGCATAGACATTGTGCCACGATGGCACTGTGATTAAGGCATGGAGATACCATCATGAAGAACTAGGCTTCTATTCCCGGCAGGGACTGGAAAACTTACCAGCTTCTCAAATCTTATCTGGTGAATAAAGGCGGTTGCAGCGCCTTGTTGATTCCCATCATAATGCTGTTGTTCGCGAAATTTTGGTGCCTCAAGGTTCTCTAAGTGAAATCTCATAATGGGTACTTACAGTGATGTATCACATAGTGGTAGATGACTATATGAATTTATAGTGGAGTCTTGAGGATTAAGTGAAATCTCTAACTGTGTGTCTATAGTGATGTCTCATATAGTGACAGACGATTATATGAATTTATTGTGGATTCTTAAGGTACACTAATTGAAATCTCAAACTGGGTGCCTATAGTGCTGTCTCATATAGTGGTAGACGATCATATAAATTTTTCTGAGATTTGCACACTATCTTTTTGATATTCATATTATGTTCTTGTTCTGTTGCAGCGAGGACATACGGGCGTCGCACCCACGGGAGTCCTCCTCCTCTTCAATCTCCTCAAGATGACCACAGGAGGTCTCGGACCAAAATGAAATGCCTCATCTCCATAGGACTCATCTTACCTGCACTGGCCGCTGTCATTGGTAAGATTTTTTAAATTTACTCCTCCCCTTTCCTCTTGAGGATGCTATACCACGGGAGAAACTTTTCATTGTGAATTCTGTTTCACCTCCATACGTAATTCAAAATTTAAATGAAAGGGAGTTCAGGTTCCCCAGCGTGATTTTAAATTATTTATATAGTGAAAGTATGTTTGCCACGAACAGTTTCTCCGGCGGTATATTGTCCTTTTCAATTGTACTGTTGGGTTACTTTCATATATAATATACGTATGCATAAAACACTACATTAATCAAAATAATATTTGTATTTTTAGGAATTAATGTCTTTTAAATGATAGTGTATGATTACCATTTTTTTTCATATTTTGTCTCAAAAGCCCATTCCCGTCGAATGCCTTGTCAACGAAAAGTTTTATTTTGGCCTACTCCGTAAGGGAGTCCGAAGTAGATTGCTTGGAAGGATTTTGTATAATTATTCTCACTTTTCATACTTTGCGGGAAAAAAAAACGCCAGGCATTCCGTAAAATATTCTATACAGGAATCGCAGTGTCCTACAAAAGAATTTATAGCAAGAGCCAATCTATATGTCTAAAGCTAATATCTCACTTCAAGTTCATAAATATATTTGGATGTAAAATGTATTTGGATGTAAAATGAATTTGGATGTAAATGTATTTAATGTAAACAAATGCCACGTTTAAAAAGCCAATCAGGATCGAGATACCTACAGTACGTACGTCACTTGAAGGTATCTCATTAAATTAAATTATGTAGTAAGTAAGTTATTTTTATTTCTGTAATAAACTCCTAGTAAGACCGCGTCTTCACAACAACAAATACAAAATAACTGCCTAAAATTGGAAAACATAGTTAGAAGTTAACTTTTATGTAGTAATCACATAAATGAATGCAAATGAATTTAAATGAGTCTTGAATCAAATGAATTTCGAGTTTAAAAAAAAGTTTGTGGATAAAGTTACAATTGTAACCCAGCAAAATTAGTAAATTTATCTTATTAACTCAATCGAATCTGAAAATAAAGATGAAGAATTCAATCTGTGTTAATAAAATAAAAAAAAGAGATTTTTAAATTGAATAACTTTTAATTTTGAAGTATCAATCTGTTTACCGTCAATAAACAAAAATAAATGTGTGGCAATTATGGTAATTGATGAACCAAGTGAAAAGAGGTTATAGTCCCCTTGTTCATTAAAAAAAACTTAAAATTAATACAATCGTTTAACGGAAAATCATTTTAATGGAACTCGTGTTTTGTGGAAGATTTTTCTACGCCAATTGGGAAATAGAGTAAACTCCTCAGTAAAGGCCTTATTATGGGATAATAATAAAAAAAAGCATGAAATTAAAAAAAAATTGAAATGAGAAGTCTGAAATTAGAATAAAGACTTTTTTTTTGCTTGTACCTATTCATAATAACTATTATACAGATATCATTATTTTCAACTACAAGAAAAATGTATTCGTTAAAGATTAAGTTTTTTTAATACAATATAAAACTAAAATACGCATATTTATACATTTTCGAGGTGCTTAATTTTGTCGTGTTTAAAACAATTCTCATTATCGTCTGCGCGTATACAAACCGCAAGTGATTTTAGTTTATTTTCTGCAGACTATTTTAATTAATTTTACTGGACGTTTTAAAAACTTAAAATTTCGATATTCTTTCGAAATTTAACTTTTAATTATAAATTAATGAGTTTCTATACGAAGGTCAATGAAATTAAATGCAGAAAAATAATACTACAGTGAGACAATCAACACTTTTTTTTTATTACTTAAACTAAAGTTTACTTTGTTGATGAGAAACATTAACCGTCAATTTAGAAAACAATTTGGGTCAACACAGATTTTTTTTTATTCTCAGAAAGTAATTTTATTGTTGTTATATATTTCTGCTCTAAGCTTTTTTCTATTTCATTCAAGATTCTAATCTATCAGTTCAGCGTGTACTATTTTAGGGGAAGAATATGCTATTACTTTTATTGCATTTTTGCTGGTTCCAGTTATTTATCACATTGTGTAAATGCATAATATGTATACAGCATTATGAAACCTTAATTCCTTTACGGACTCAAAATTTAAACTACTAAAGCAGATGAAACAATCGGTTTTTTTCTTCACTACTTTTAAGTCAATATCTCTTGTTCTAATTTATTGACACAGTTTAAGAATTTTACTCTTTTGATTCGGTGCAATTAGTTTCGAAAGTTAATTGAGTTCAAGTTTTAAATATGACTCTTTACTTCAACTGTTAATTTGATTATTAATGTAAATTTAATGTTTTTAACTTAATTATTAGTAACTTAACAATTTTAACTTTTCTAAATCGTAAAATTTTGTTACAAAAATATTTAATTTCATCGTGGACGTGAAATATATTACATTTTATTGTCGCATATCGTAAAATTATCATTATTTTTTAAAAAAAGAATAACACCATTAAAAATAGCTCTTTTTATTACAACAAAAATATTTTGTTATTAATAAAATATTTTTTAATAAAATATATTTATTAATAATTTTTTTTTGCAAAATTAAATTATAATTTAGAGAAAAAACTCATATGTAAGCAATGAGGAAGTTTACTGTACATATCTGATTACAGATTTATTGTAATCAGATTTTTGAAAAGATGTCCAAAATCATCAAAAATATGCTTACGTAATGTTTGAATGGTCTCCGAATCGTTGAACGAAGTTTTTAAAAATCAAAACATGAATAAAATGAAAGTAGCAATAAATAAAATTACTAAAAACGAATCGACATATTTATGTGACACAACATTCTATACCATTTTCCTTTTGTAGAACATTGCCAATCAAGCAAGTCAAAAACAAGTCCTAAAATAAGCGTGAAAAATTCCTTTGAGAAATATTATTTCCTTTACGCCTATGTTTCTCGAAATGTCAACCGACAAAATGATTAATGTAATTCTGTATCTTTACATGGTGTAGGTTGAATGGATTCATTTTGAATATTTTTTTCACACCTACCTAACCTAAATGCAAATATTCATGTCATGGGACACAAATTGAAAAAAGAGAGAAAAAAAATTAGTTATTAAAAATTCTTTCCGAGTTTATTTTCGCATGTCCCATTTTATTCACGATTCTTAACGAGGCAGACTTGAGACGATCTAACCTTTAGCTTTTGTATCCTTTTCAAATGACGTAACGAAATTTCCTTTTTGTTGCAAGAAACATACAATGTACTTTAAATGTAGATTACTGGTACTTTATATTCATATCCATCATGTTAACTTAACCAATTTGCTTTTTTCAAGGTCAAGACCACTTTGGACAGAGAAATAAATGCTTAGTAAATGTGCTAAAAAAAATATTAATGTCTTAACTTTCACAAAAAGAATAGACTTGATACTTTTTATGAAATGTTTTCTAGATTTCCTTTAACATTTTATTTAATGAGACTCGTAAAATTTTTTAGTTTTTAAGCTGAAATTTTATCAAACTCATAAAATGATATATATAAAAAAAATTTATACGTGTAAATTTGATTTACGACCTTAATAATACAAGGACGTAAAAAATTAATTTACAAAAATAAGTTATCGCGCCGACTTGTACTAAAATTGTAGCGGTTGCCCTGAATTTCAAACATTTCAAGGATTAAAGACTTGGTTGCTTCTTATGATGTTTTTAAGTACTGACGAAAAACAAAGTTATTTTCTTACTTAATTGTTGTAGCCTTCATAATCGCTTTAAATTTTATGGAAGAGCTGGAATCTCAGAGTTGGCAACTCTGATTAAACCATTAAGGCCCGACCACGAATGACGAATACAAAAACGTAAAAAATGAATTTTCGAAAAAAGAAAAAAAAAAAAAATTCTCGCGCCGACTTGTACTAAAATTGTAGCGATTTAACCGACTTTCAAATAATTCAAAGATAAAAGATCCTGTACTGTCTTATGAAGTTTTTAAGTACTGGCGAAAAGCGAAGTTATCACTTAAATGTTGTAATATTCATAATCACTCTAAATTTAATGGAGAGTTAGAATCTTAGAGTTGGCAACTCTGATTTAAACCATTGAGACTCGACTACGAATGTCGTGAAAAAGGACTTAACGAAAAAAGTTCTAGTGCATTTTGTTTAACATCTTACGACGAAGCGTCCTATGTATTGGGCAATATTTGGTACAATTTTATCACTTAAAAATTAGTGTTTTAAGATAATTTTTCCGATTGTATGCCTTTATGAGGCAATTGTCTGTGTAAAAATATAATTCGATTTACCCTTATTTTTCAGATTGTATTCTTTTACAAAGCAGCTGTCTGTGTGAAAATATAATTCGATTATTTTTCTGATAGTATGATTTTACAAAGTCATTATTTAAAGCTTAGGTTTCGGGAGGCTCTCTCTTCTTTTATCTCCTTCTGTTAACTAACCTATTAACAACACGCGTACTTTGCTTTGACTTTTGTCTTTATTGCGCTCTATCAATATCTATTTTTTATTCTGATACATTAATTGTTTGATACTGCATTCTTAAGACACCATTTATATTTATTTATTCTTTTACTTGCCATCTGATACCAAATACAATACCAAAATCATGTTCTTATTTATATTCTGATTGGTTTTTCGTTTGATACTACATAATTAAAAATCAACATTTCCATTTTTATTCTGATTTTTCTTTACTATTTAGTACTGAGAATTGTTAAAATTACCATTATTATTTTTTCTTCTGATTTATTTATTGTTTAATATCACATTAAAAATTAACGTTTTCATTTTTATTCTGATTTATTTGCTGTTTAATATCACATTAAAAATTAACGTTTTCATTTTTATTCTGATTTATTAGCTGTTTTTATACTATATTGTTAAAATCACCGTTTTCTATTTTTATTGTGATACACATGGCGATTATTGTGATTCACATGGCTTTTCTTTAAGTAACTGATGTGGATTCATAGAGTTTATTTTCATGAAACTGTTATTTAGGCTATCACTTTTATAGCAGGGAATTTTAAGTTAAGTTTGAGTTATAGAAAAAGTGTCATGGTTATGTTTGATTTGGTTTTTTAAACATTAATTCCTAAAAACTTAAATGGTCTGAAGTTATAACAGAAAAATTTACGGACTATAATTACATTCTAAGTGTTACTTAGAGAGTTTTCATTGAAGCAATAAAAATTAAATTTATTAACAATTTATTAACACTACCACCCCTCTATCTATAGAACCAAGTCATATTATTCCCGAAGCCATATTATTTCTAATACTCGTTGATGTTTTAAATTTTTTTTCAAGTTAATACGAGTTTTTGAAAAGTTATCTTAATATTTGATCTTGAAGTTGCTTCATATGCACGTTTATAAGCATAAAGAGGAAAATGAATTTAAGTGAAAAAGTAATTTTTACATAGAATCAAAATTCATAAATCCCCACACGAATTCCGCAGGTAATACAAAAAATTATCCTAAGGATATCACTTAAGTGACGTATGTATACTCACAATTGTGATTATACGTACACGTACTTACATATCACGTTTTAAAGTACTAAAAAATATTTTTTTTTTTGTATTCGTAATTGGTGTTTTTTACTCGTTGGTGGTGTAATAAAATAAAAAATTGTGTCGAAATAGTAAACAAAATAGCATCGAATGTATGTAAAAAATAGTAAAAATATAGCGTAGTATCTCCCGTGGACAAGATAGAGTTGGGAGATTTCAAAAGCATTTTTATCACTTGGACAAAATTATGTAAAACAGAATCTCACCTTGACAAATTAGCTTGGGTCAGAATCTTACTTGGGCAAAATAACGTGAGGCAGAATCTTACTTGGGGTTCCAAACTATGCATATTTTAGTCCGATTGCCAGATCACGGATAGCCAAAAGTTTATATCATGATTTAGACTCTTATCAATATTATTAATTTATTTAAGCAAAGAATGTAAATTTATTTAGCCACTTCATTTATTTTTCTTCTTTTTAATTTTCTAAATGAAAAAAATAAAATAAAAGCATTAAAAAAAATTTCGACCTAGAAAGCGTTTTTACCCCCTTTAGTTACCTAATACGCCGATGCCCTACATTTCTATTTTATAATTTGTATTCATAAAAAGAAAACGACAATAAAACACAGGGTTTCTCTTTTCAGGTGTCGCTGCATGGGCTGTGAGTGCGGATGTGGTAATGAACTCTGGCAACAGTAGGAACAAGGCAGATAATCACATGATGCAGGTAAGGGTCAATGGCGTATCACCCAAGTTACACACACCTTTCCTTTTCTTTTATCTGTGACATCTTTAACTGAGAGATTGTGAAATGGATGAAGTTTCATTTTGCAAAACCTGGTTTCTTTTTTTTTGATTCCTCCTTATCTTTTGTCTGGGCAAGTAAGATAATAGGAACGAAAAGCATAGCCATTTGAAGAATAAGACTTTGATGATAATAATGAAAGATAATAACCAAACAACACAATCACAAACGCATTATATTAAAATTGTTGAAAAAGAAGGAGTTTCATTACTACATTGAGTATCAGTTTTAGTGCAAAGTGCCCGGAAGTTTCAACTTTCCTCGATATTTGAAGTGGTTGAACTTAGCAAATTGATGTTTTCAAAAATTTCGTGCATAGCATTTAAATGCACTGCGAAGTGCTTATCTGGATTTCTGATAATATCTCGGAATTTTGCAAATTCGTGGTGTACAAAACAATTTATAACACCCCTAGCAGCAAAATAACTTGGGCTCTCATTGGGCCAATATTCATGAATTTTGGCTTAGTAAGGATTCAAAAGGCCTTAATTTTCCTATATTGGCCCTATATAGAATTTCCCTATTCACTTTATATTTCAAAGCCACTTTACAACCAACATCGGTTCTATATAGAATTGTCAGATTCACCCGATATTTTATATCCATTATATGGTGCCAATTTTGAACCCATTGTTGCTAGGCACATGTTATAAAGAATAAATTGTTATCGAAGATTGCTACCAATTTAAAAGTTGCGGGGAGAAATTAGTTGAACTATACTACTAATATACTTGATAATGTAAAAAAAAAACAACATCCTTTGCTTTAAAAATTAGAGGATGGATGAAATTGACATGTTTCGAGGTTTCAAAAATAAGTCCATGCTTAACATTCCTTAGACATAAACGGGGAATACAGAACATATTTGAAAAAAAAAAAGAAACACGCAATGTTGGTAACAAAAAATATAAAATATATAAATTTGAAAATAGAAACTAGAAAAACCACTTTAGTAAAGAGAGGTAAATCAGACCAGGTTATATTTTGAAGCACTATAGATAGTTGAACAGGAATTCATATCATTAATTAGGGAATCGGTAGTTCATATGAATGAAACAAGATTCCAGAACATCAAGATGAATTGAAGAGACAAGGATGGGAAGAATTTTGGCTTCATAGAAGATAAATTTATGACCAAAGTTTCAACAGAGTACTGTAATAGATGATTTATCAAATTCTTAATGATGGATACATTTGTTGTGTGCCTTTAATCTAAATTTTAAAGCACGTCTAGATTGCCTGTTTGCACATGATGAATTTCTCCATTTTTATAATTTTTGAAGCTAATGAAGTTTTGACATTATCAAGAATATCTTTCCGCTTTAGTTTCTGGAATTATTCATTAAGAAATACACTTAGTATATTGTTATACTTTTATTGTAAAATTTTGTTGCTATTTGCCTTGAAGATAAGCATTCACACATACGTAATAATATTACGCATACATTTATCTATTTTTTTTCAGCAGATTGGTACAAATTTGGTTAAGCAAAATAATAATATGCTAGTGGGAAATTTACCTAGGAATTTCTAAAAATGAATACTCATAAATTCCTTAATTTATAAAAAATAGACTAAATCAAAGAAAAAGAAGAAAGTAAGGTTTTTAAAGTACATTTTATGGAAATTGAAAATTCAAAGTAACCTTAAATTAAAGTATTTTCCATCGGTCAGCTAAGGGACCTCGGCGGGGACCTCTCTTTTTAACCAAGAACGGAAGGTTTTTTGGTTTCATCAAAACATTTTGTTTTCGATAGTAACTGTTATGCTGTGACCTCCAACTTTTTTTCACTCTCAAATGTAAGAAAAGAAAAATACTATTTTCCTTAAAGGAGAGTAAACGATATGAAAAGGGTGAACAATAAGAATTAAAAAAAATATTTCAGACCATTCATCTATAATTTTTTCCCCAAAAGTTTTAAAAAATTGATATCAAGTTCTCTTTACTTATTTACTTCTTTTTAAATTTTTTTTCAAGCAGAAAGTAACGAAGTCTGAGGGAGCCATTTGAAAGAAAAAGTAACGATTTCTTATAACAGTCTCGTTACAAATACTTGTACTTTTTCCTGAAAAGAGTAACGAAAAAACAATTAAATTAATTAAATTTGAAAAGTAACGAAGTAAAATTGCGTACTTTTTAATTTAACTTTCGCTGCATGTAACGAAATTAAAAATATTGCCATGTAATCAATTGAGGCACCGATTTGATTGGCCAGTTATTAGTTTAACAAGACGGCGTTTCTAACATCTCCTAAATGTTTACAAATCCCTAAGAACTATTCTTTAGAAAGGAAATTATTTTCAAAACCATCCAGAACCGGAAATCTTATCAGAAACGAACCAGATCAACGAACCAGAAATCTTATCAGAAATTTTCACTCTTTGATGATTACCTACATTATTTCTGTTCATATTTTAGAAGTTAAATAAATAAATTTCAAAAGCATTTTTTTATTTTTAGCGTAATAGGACGATGATAAAGAAGTCTATGGAAGTCAAGTTGTTTATTAATCATATATCATAATGATTTATAATGATGTGCTAAATAAAAATATGAACCAAATTGAATTTTTTAAAATACGATTTTTTAAAATTTGATTTCTCAGAAGTTATTGGACCGATTTCGTCCAAATTTTGTATTTTGCCATGTAAAATTACATTCGTTAAAATGATGTAAAAAATGTACACTTTACTGTTCAAGCTTTTCATCGACTTTTATTAAATAAAAAAAAATAAAAAGATATTAACTAAATAACTAAATGTTAATTTTTGCTCGGAATTATCTTTAGATAAACGAATTTTATAATTGCGTGCAAATTCAATTTGCTTAAAACGTTTTCAAAATATGGCAAAATAAGTAAAAACTAAAATTAACATTAAGAGTCCAAACTTTGGAACGTTCTCCTGACCAAACTATTGGGACCATATTTTTCAGATTGCGACTACCCCCTATATTTTGAGGATCGGAAATACGAATGCGCCGAAAAAAGGCATGTTTATTCAAAGAAAGTACATTTTTGTATCTGATTTTGTAGCTTAAAATATCGTCTACACTAATTAAATGTCATATTTGAGGTCACCCCCGCGAATCATTAAGATTGAGTCCTAGAACGTGAAGATCCGATCATATGATCAAAAGGTATTTAGGGTGATCCGTTAATTTATTTATCATTCATTTTACTGTCCGTATGTCAATGTAATGTATGATAAAGTATTATGAGGTAAAATGATTAAAATTCAATTTCACTTTGATCCGCCATCCTAGCTTTGCATTAACAGTGCTATCATAAACTCATTTATGATTAAAATAATATTACTCAAAAGCTTTTTACTTTTAGAATTTTCCTATGGAAAGTGATCATCGTAGAGACATATTTGGATCGAATGAAGAGAGTGATAAGATTCGACCCCAGAATCAAATGCCTGAGTCAACAACAAAATTAACAACGACGACAACCACTACAACTACTACAGCAAAGCCAACAACACAAAGCTCAACTACCATTACTACAACTACGAGCACAACGTCAGCACCTGGAACACTCTCCCCAAAAGAAGAAAACGACGTGAACGCCATTCTTTCAAAACTCATATCGGCATCTGGGGCTGCTTCTGGGGGAACTGGACCACGATTTGTGGTGGTTGCCCCATTACCCGATGGTACGGATGCTTTTCAGAGTCCACCTTCAACATCAACCATCTCGAGAGCAGATCATTCTCAAAAATCTCGAGATAATTCATGGCACGTATCTGGTCCGAGTCGGCACGAATCAGATCTGCAAACCTCTGCTTCCTCACACAGTAAAAGAATTGCCCATTCTACAGCCAACCAGCCGATTCATCAAAAAAACCTAACCAATCGAATTGGAGCTAGCACAGATGGCTCGTCTAATCGCAGAATCGGTCCTCAACCGATTGTAATCTCAGCCAATGATTACCACAATGGAAATACTTTTAATGGTCCTGAGATAGAAATAACAGGCTTTGATCCGTTTGATTCTATGATGCAAGATGCATTGTCGGCAAGTCCTTCAGCACCCAAAGTACACCAGTCACCAAACCATCCAACGTACAACAACAAGCGCGGGCCACCACAAGGAATCTATGGCAACAGGAAACCTCTACCACTTCAAACATTCGATCACAAGCCTCAACAAGTGTTCGATCCTCACATGATGAATCAAAACAAGCACACTGTTATCAACAGTCATAATCCTGGTTTGGTTGCTCTGCCACCAGGTATGGGTCCACCTCCCTCAGTAGGCTTAAAGCCGATTCAAAAGCAAATGCATCATGCAGATCCACTACAAGCAGCTGAATCGAATAGGTGGGGTTATCACGGCCCTCCTGGTGGTTCTTATCATCACAAACCTCCTGAAGGTATATCTTTGAGTATATCTTCACCCTCACACAGTGGAACACACGTGTCTGCTTCAGAGCCAGTGAGTGTTATAAAAAGTTTCTTCCTGCCATTTTTGCCAAAACCAAGATTAAACATGAATGCCAGAGTGGTATTTGGTGTTGTTCTGGACAAGGGTATGGGTTTGGGAGGGGGTAAGAAAGATGCTGGACATCATCCTTACCACTAAAAGAAAAAGCCTTTTCCAAAATCAAGAGATGATGTGATAATTGATTCCTACGGAAATTATCAGTAGAATTTTAGTTGCAGTTGAGCTGCGATTCTTTTGACAATTTTATTTGTATACATGGCTGAATTGTTTGATATTATTCAGCCTGTACCAAATAGCTACAGTCACTATGTGGTGAAAAATGCTTTCTTATTTATTTCCATGTCCTAAGTTAGCAGTAATAAGTTTTATTTTTCTGAAAAAATAAATTCCTGTACCCATTTCGTTCTTGCGTTGAATTTTCGCAATAAAATTTGCAAAACCTCTCTCGTAAATAATAAACAATATATCTTCTTAACCATTTAAGTTATTTATTTTGAGAATCTCAAAAAACCAGAAAATGAAATTTTTTCTACACACAAATTTAAATAATAGTTTACTGAATATATGTATAATTTTCAGTAGATATTATTAATGCAACAACTGTGAATTCAGGTCTTTGTTCATGAATAATAGTTTAAACATTTTCTGATCAGTATTTTCAATCTGGTTTTTAAAATATCATACTAAATTTTATAACCTTTCTATTATGACAATATAACAATTATTACTGTTGGTAACTATTACTCGCAAACTTTCCTTACTTATTCACAGTATGATTATCTTGAAATTTTATAATTTCTTTTCTTTTTCCTAGATATTGCCAGTATCATATACGGGATCATGAACGGTTTAATGAAAGTAAAAAGTGGTAGTTTTCTCTTAAATTACATTTTGTTTAGCTTAGTTTAAAATATTGATTTCAAAAAGATATTAAAATTAATTATTACACTGGCTAGACACAGATATTGTTTATTAGTTTTATAAATATAAACAGTTTTTTTAAAACACCATCTCCCCGCCCCCCCTCCAGAGTTAGCGTTTACGTGCAAAATCTGGGAAAAATATCAGGACACAACTTTGAGACCACGGGAATTCGGTAGAATATCTCAGAATTCTATTTGATACCCAGAATTTTCATAAAAGGACCCTCGAACAAATCACATTTTATTGTAGAAAGATAGTGATATTAAACCATGAAGTGCTAAAAGTATAAGATATTTTGCTTATTTAATGACTTTGTATGGTAGGTGGATTATATTGGAATCATTGAAACCTAATGAAAGCGTTACTTAACATAGATATTATTATTTTGCATTAAATATGTTTCAATTTTTCTACATTCTTTCAGCGTTTTGGGCACAAAAAAATTCTTCATTTTTCATTTTAAAAATAGATCATATTTTTCGTGAAAATAGCGACAGGCAATAAATTTTAATCTGGCTAGTACCTTCAAAATTGTAATTTCACACCCTGATTTAAATTATATATATTTTTAAATAATTGGTAAAAATAAATTAATGAAATAATCCATGTTGAATAAATATAAATCTTAAAGATATTAAATGTAATAAAGTCAATGAAGTAAAAATATAATAATTTTCCTACAGAATTAAATTTTATCTAGTATAATGAAGCTAATAATAAAAATTTTATTCTTTCTAAATCTTTTAGGTCTAAAATATTAAGATTATCAGTGTAATGATTGTAATATTACATTTCTTAGCACCGGATTCGTACAATAGCTTACACAAAATAAAGTCATTACATAATGTTAACGCGTACACATAATGTTTTGTATTAATGATTTGCTTAAATGAATTTAAAATGCTTTAATACGTTGTTTTCTAACGAAGAAAATAAAACTTTCACCCATCTTATTAATTATAACAGAAGACGGCAGTCATAAGGTTTAAAAACCGGTTTACAACTATCTGTCAAATTTTTTAAGGGGTAGCAAAATTGAGATAGATCAACACCACCTGAAAGAGAGAAGGGCTCAGCACGGATCATTTCAGTTGTTTGATGAAACAACCATAAACTGCACAGTGGGGTAAAATAAGAACCATGTTACAATACCCGGGCTACAAAATTACGCAGTGGGAGGCAAATAAGAAAGATGTCACTGCGTTCGGACTACTAAGGATCCGATTTCTGGTTTATGGTAACCCATCGAAGACTTTCTCTTATCTTAGAGGTGTTGGACAAATAGAGATGTTATGAACTATCTAGGTCAATCAAAAAATATTTTAAAACTGAAAGTAAATGTATAAGGATTTACAAAAACCTTGGGAACGCCTATGTTATGCTCAAGCGAAATTTTTAATAATTTTGAAAGAAAATTTAGTACTACTTTTTAATTTTTCCAAGGTCCTGGTAACCCTGGAGAAGAAATAACTTATATCAGTTAAAATGATGCAAGCATTCCATATTAAGTAGAAATTTAAATTATTTTTTATGTGTTTGAATATTTTGTTCTTGTTTGTGTATGTAATATATGTTAAATTAAAATAAAGTTATAAAGTGAAATAGTTTGTTTCGATTCAATTTCATTTTACGTATATTTTAAAGCGTACTGAAAAAAAAAAATCTACTAACAGTTTGACGCAGAATTTTTATTAAACATATATTTTCCATTATTTTGTATTAATTTAGATCAAAATAAGTGAAAAATATTAATAATTTATGGTTATAAAATACAGCATGAAACACCGGTGTCTTTTTCAGCGTTAAAGATAAAATCTTCCAAACACGGCTCACTTCCAAACAATGCTTAATTAAAATAAATATACATCTTACCATTATTGTTGTTCTGCACACAAATGTCATTGAAACACAAAGCTTAAGATCAAAAAAAAAAAAATTTAATAATGACCTATAACGTGTGCTTCGTTTCTGAAAATATAGTGCGAAATCTGACGAGAATTTAGGAAGGAACTTTGTGAAGGAAAGGAAAGGGTCAAAATATTGTAAAAAAATATAACATCATTTGGAAAGTCTTAATTAAATTTGAATCAATTAAAATTGTTAAGTGAAATTAAAACAAAATTTTTGCTCCAGCAAAAATTTCGCTTTTATTTCTATGTTTCAGAAAAAAAAATTAAAATTTTCATTTTTGAATGAATTCTAAAAAGTATGCTGTAACGTATTCTAGTCAAAAATTCCAACTAGACTAGGTTACGAATAAAAAACAATTTATTTAAAACTTAAATAAATTGCTTTTGTAAGAAAAGAAAAAAATAGATTTTCATGAACTCTATGGGAGAAAATCGCCATTGAACTTACACACTTCGAAACTGAGACATCACTGACTAACTACACATGCGCAGTTCGTATTCGTTCTAGTTGTGGTTAGGAGGATATCACAATACATTAAGGTTTATCATTACAAAATTTTCAAAATTCATATACAATTTTTTTTTTCGAATGAATTCTAAAAAATATATATTATGGTGCTCATGAAAATTAAAATAAGTTAAAAATATCAAGGTTCTTATCTGATTCTGAATAACTCAAAAGTTGGCGACAGATTTTTCTATCAGTTGCCAAAATTTTTAGGAATTTAGATTATACATTAGTTTTGCAAAAAGTTACAGATGTTTTTGCTTTGAATTGCCAATAGCAATTACAAATACGTTATAGTTTCAAATGCGTTAGAAATAGCAATGCATTTACACTTGTTTTTCAAAAGTTAAAAATCAGTTATGTTGTACCGAAATAATAATAATAATAATTAGGTAATGAACAAATAAGTCAAACCGCAACACCCCTCATGGAATTTTCGATAGATTTCTTATCCTTAAAACACACCAGGACACTTTATTCAGAAGGCTCGTTTTTGCGTAATTCTTTATAAGAAAATCTTCTAACTTTTAAAGTTTAAAGAATTATTTAAAAAAATTATAATTAGCTAATATAAATATTAAAACCACTGTTTGCAT